ACGAGCGCGTACTTGAGCTAATTATTGAAAATTCGGTTTTTCCTTAAGTATTTCAATTGAGTTCTTTTTCCTGTTTTATTCTACTTGTGAATTTAGCCTATTGCTAGTTTAGAAAAGCATGTTTAGTTGACTTAATTGCCTATTTGCTTAAACTGCCTTAATTGCATTACGTGAAGCATGTTAGGCTAGAATTAAATGTTTACTTGGTACGAAATTTAGCTTAATTAGGTATTCTTGTGTTGTTGCTATGTGTTTTTACTTTGGGACTACGGGACGGCATCCCGGGAGATCCCATGTACATATTTATGATCTGAATTGAGGTGTGAGATACCAAGAGATCCCTGGCACGTATATTGAGGATACCAAGAGATCCCTAGCATATATTGAGGATACCAAGAGATCCTCGGGATACCGAGAGATCCCTAGCATATATTGAAGATACCAAGAGATCCTCGGGATACCAAGAGATCCCTAGCATATATTGAGGATACCAAGAGATCCTCGAGATACCAAGAGATCCCCGGTTATCATCCTTTTTTTGAGTGTTACTTCCTTGTGGTATGCCTTCATCTCTGTTTCCGTTATTGTACTTGTATTATCCTGTGTAGATTCTTACTGTAGATTCTCAATTGTACTGTTTATCTTATCCTGTCATCTTTATATTTATTTAATCTCAGTAGGGCCCTAACCTTCCTCGTCACTACCCAACCGTGGTTAGGCTTGGCACTTATTAAGTACCGTTGTGGTGTACTCATGCCTCTTCTGCGCATGTTTTTCATGTGCAGATCCAGGTACCACTACTCAGGCCTATCATCCTTGAGGAGGTGACTACTCTAGAGACTTCGAGGTACATTTACCGCGTTAGCAGACCGAAAAGTCCCTTTCTATTCCTGTTTTTAGTATTTAGCACTTCTGTATTTTTTTTGTTCTTATTAGACATTCCGGAGTTAGAGCTATGTAGTATTGATCTTAGCTTGTGATTTGTTGGTTTCCGGGTCTTGGATTTATGTATTGGTATTGAGAGTTAAACATGGTGTGAGCCGAGCGGCACATTTAAACACTGTTACTACTTTATTTCTATTTTAAATTGTTTTACTTCTGTAAATTTTTGTTTTTCTTTCGTAAATTAGGCTTACCTAGTCGTAGAGACTAGGTGTCGTCACGATGGTTCATGAAGGGCGAACCAGGGTCGTGACAAGTTGGTATCAGAGCTCTAGGTTCATAGGAGTCATGGATCACAAGCCAGTTTAGTAGAGTCTCGCTGATCGGTACGGAGACGTATGTACTTATCTACGAGAGGCTATGTAACTATTAGGAAAGCTTCCTCTTCATTTGATTCCTTGTCATGCGATATTTTGACATCACAATTCTAAACTTCTTTCTTCTATTCTCTCGCAGATGGTGAGGACACGTGCTACCCAAGATAATCAGGCACCTGCGACCCCTACTGCAGCCGTCAGAGGCCGAGGCCGGGGTAGAGGCCGAGGACGCACGTGGTGCAGCTAGAGCACCTGTACAGGCTACCGTCGAGGTACCACCCGCAGTTCCAATCGGAGTCCAGGCACTTGATACACCTACTGCTACTACTACTCCAGCCCTTTAGGAGACTTTGGTGTAGTTCATGAGCATGTACACCACCTTGGCTCAGGCAGGGTTGCTTCCCCTTGCTGCAGCCACATCTCAGGCTGGGGGAGGATAACATACTCACGTCGCCCGCACTCCTAAGCAGTGAGTGCATGTTGAGCAGATCCCTGAGATTATTTCTGGACAGCCTGCAGTGCCAGTTCAGCCCGAGAACAGGAAAGTGGCTTCCGAGGAGGAGCAGTTGAGGTTTGAGAGGTTCAAGAAGTACAAGCCTCATGTATTCAGCGGTTTATCATCGGAGGATTCTTTGGGATTTCTAGATGAAAGCAACTGCATTCTCCGTACCATGGGTATATCAGGATCGAGCGGGGTTTCCTTCACTACCTTCCAGCTTCGAGGAGTTGCCTATGAGTGGTGGCGCACCTATGAGTTAGACAATCCGGATGAGGCTGCTTCACTAACTTGGACTCAATTTTCAGATCTGTTCCTGAGAGAGTATGTTCCTCAGAGCCTTAGGGACGCATAGCGCGCTGAGTTTGAGTATTTGCACTAGGGTGATATGACTGTCTTAGAGTATGCTGTCCATTACACCAGTTTGGCTAGACATGCACCAGCCTTAGATTCTACTGTCCGCGAGAAGGTTCGCCGGTTTATTGAGGGCCTTATTCCCAGCATCAGGTCTAGCATGGCTCGTGAGTTGGAGATGAATATTTCTTATCAGCAGGTGGTGAGCATTGCTAGGAAGATTGAGGGTATGCATGCTATGGAGATAGAGGAGAGGGAGGCCAAGAGGTCTCGAGAGTCAGGCTATTTCTCTAGTGCTCGTGCCCAAGCTATAGGTCGTCATAACAGGGGTTATATGAGTCGCACTATTCATTCAGCTCTTCCAGCAGCCAGTGGTATTCCAGCTCCTCCTAGGCCTCAGGAGCCCTATTATGAACCTCTGGTTTCTAGCACGCCTCTTGCGCGGGGTGCTTTCAAAGGTCAGTCCAGCAGACCTCGTCCGAGCCAGTCACAACTACCACGTCCTCCCAGAGCTTGTTTTGAGTGTGGTGACACACGCCACGTGGTGATTGATGTTTTAAGTGTCAATACCACACAAGAGGGGGTGATTTGTGTGGTACCCAATTTTCGATCTAGAAGAACCAGGTTCTTTTAGGTGTTCTAACTACTACTATTTGCGGAATTAAAAGTACATAAAATAAAGAACACAGAGATTTTTACGTGGAAAACACCCGACTCAAAAGGTGGAAAAACCACGACCTACTACTCGGTAGGATTTTCCCCAACACTTCACTAAATCACAGAGCCAAAATAGCATTTACAAAACTCTTTGTAAACCTAAGGATTACCTCTAACCCCGTTGTAGCAATCAGCCTCTAACTGTTGCGACAACTTCAAGTTAGCCTATAACTTGAACTCTCAAAGTACCTAATACAATTGCTTCTATGAAAGCTGGAAAGGTACAACTTTGAACCACTTACTACAATTGAACTAGAATAAGAAAAAACACAATAGAACTGGTTCTTCTATCTCGTTCAAGTAGCTTCAGGAGTGCACACTCAAATCTCACATAAATTGCTTGCAAAATCGCCTTGCTCTTTTGCTTTCAATTTAGTTTAACTTCTGCGTATGTGCAATACCTGTAAAAAAGAACAATCACTGTTATTTAATAAGTTAGTAATTAGAGTTTGATTGAGACTCAATTGATGATCTCCCATCGAAGTTGAGTCCTTGAACAACACAAACTCCAACACTATCTTTTATCCGGATTGTGTTCTCTTCACATAAGGAGACTTTCACCCCTTATCCAATATGCAACCTTTTCGATCAGATCAGGAGATATTTCTGCTTGATAAGTGGGACTTATCTCATTCACGTGCATTTCACATGTATAGATCATGACTGTGCTTCACATGATGGACCTGGTCCATGACTGAGTTCATTTGTCATTCTTCAAAACTTCACCTATTCTTAGGCCAACAAATTCCCCATTTTTGATGATGACAAACTCTGTGCTTTTTACTAATTAAAAGATCTGTAAGAACTCAGCTTAACCATCAACACTAGACTTAGTAGAAAATTTACTTCTCATCAAGGACCAGGTTAATTAGGTTATAAATATCACTTATTCAGAATAATGGGTAAAGCACAATATTTTCCCCCTTTTGGCATCATTGAAAAGTTGCATACTTAATGTGAATCCCAGATTTTAAAAAGTACTCATGGCCACTGGGGAAACTGCAAGTGAAAACATGGTGCAATTATCAATAATCAACAAACATGTTTAAACTATTAAGATCAGAATCATCATAGAACAAGAGAAAATAGTTATTGTCATTGATCATAATATGTTGCCATTAACAGTCCACAAAAAGAAAGAAAAACTTTCAAAACATGAACAAAAACAGAAAAATCCCTAATCCGGGTCACTGGGGTTCACTGGGGTTACTAGACAGGTTCAGAAGACAAGTACTAGGAGACCTAAGGCTTGGAGGAACTAGAGGGTTGAGTCTGGATAAGGTTCAGCATATTCTAAAGGATCCCATCACTCTTCTCCTTTTCTTTTTCTAGCTCAGTTCTAAAGTCATCCCTCTCAGTTTCCAATTCAGCCACACGAGCCTTGAGCCTAGCAATTTTAGCATCCTTAGTTCCACATTCCTCAACCAAAGTCCTAACCTTGCTGTTGATGGGTATCTTCAGAGATGAAACAGGTTCAACTGGGATGGCATTGACTGGATAGTCACAAGCCAGAAGAGTCTTAATGCTAAAATATTCCTTGCTTGATGCCATTTCCCATTTCTTCAAAGGCACGTTCAGCTTGTCCAGAATAGTGGTCAGTATGAATCCATATGGAGTAGCATGAGCCTTGGAGCCATTGATGACCCTGTCTAGCAATTTTACAATGAGAGCAGGTCAGTTGATCTGCTTTCCTCTCTCAAGGCACTCCATAAGAACTAGGTCCATGTAATTTGCAATATGTCTTCTCTCTTGTTTGGGAAGTAGGCACTTGTCGACAAACTCAAACACAACCTTGTGCTCAGCCCTCATCTCACTTTTCTGCACAGCCCTGGCTTCATTCACATCCTCTGAATCATAGAACCTCTTGGTGATCTCAAGAGCAGTAGGTAGGGAGTGCATGCCTGGCCACCTTTGCCTAGTGTAGTCATCAAACCCTTCAGATGGTATATCCAGAATTTCTCCCAATTTCGCAGCATCAAATTGCACTAGGACTCCCTTCACCAAGCTACTGACAACCCCATCCTTAACATCAGCATTAACCATGAACTCAATTAGTTCATCTCTGGCTAGTCTCCCATCCATTTGAAGGACTATGTCCTTCCAACCTTGAGAAGTTAAAGAGTCAACCAACCTCCTCATCCCTGGTTCCACCAGGTCCTTTAACAATCTACCTTTCAACATTTTCTCCTGCCAAAGATGGCAAATTTGTCTTGTTCCTTCTCAGATTCCTCCTCTTTTTCTTCTCCACTCCACTTTTCATCATCTAAAACTTTTGCTTGTTTAGCTTTCACTACAGATTTTGTCCTCTTGGCTAGTGGGGGTTCAGCAGACACAGGTATAGAAGAAGACTTCTTGGAAGAAGTCGTGGACTTTTTAGGTTTTGGTGTAGGAACCTCCACTTTTGTACCCCTTTCTTGATGGACCAGTTCCATCTCCTCTTCCTCTACAACCTCAGAGGATTCTACAACCTTTCCCTTTCCCTTCTCCACTTTCTTTTTCTTACTTTCTTCTAGAGCCTTTTGTAAGTCAGCTTCACTTTGTTTTACCCTGCTTCTTGTGTCTCTTCCCTTAGGCATTAAAGAGGCAGTAGGTTTTGGGGATGAAGTTTTTCTTTTCTTGGATGGCTTGGGAACATTTGGGGCTTTTGGTGTGGTAGCTTTGCGTTTCTTTGAGTCATAACTTGTCCCAATCTTTCTCAATATATCAGCTAGGGTCTCTTTAGTAGATGAAACGGGTTCATCTCTCCTTTTGCTCAGATGAACCAACCCCTCAGCAGCCTCCCCAGACCCACTTCCTCCTGACTTCATCCACCCTCTTCTAACCTCTCTTGTGCAACCCCACATATAGCAAGAACTAATCCTTTCCCATTCCCCTCTCTTCACCACATGCACCTCTCTCTCTTTTTCTTTTTCAGACTTCTTTTTACCTTCACTCCTACTTGTCTCAGCCAACTTAACATCCCTAATGGGTCCAACCAGAACAAACCTAGTTTCTAAGTTTTCAATAACAGATGAACTTACTACAGTAGGGAATTCTTGAGTCTTCTCAGAGTCAGAAGACCCATGTCCTTCCCCCTCAGTCGCAGATTGAAAGGATTCAAACTCAGAATTGGAATCAGAATTTGGAGCTGGACTTTTTTTCACTTGGCTAGCTTTTAACCTTTCATTTAAAACCTTTCTCAGAGCCCCAGATGCTACAGTTTTTCGAGCCAATATTTTCTGCCTTCGAAACCTAGGTTTTGGGGATTCACTAGGAGGAGTAGATGAGGATGAATTTGAGGGTGATGGTGGTGGAGGAGAACCAGGATGATCTTGTGGGTTAGACATTTTTGTTCGTTTCTTGAGTTAATTTGGGAATTTTGGAGAAGAGAACAATTAGAGTTGAAGAAGAGAATTTTTGACGGTTTTAGAATAATGAAGAAGATTAGAGATGTGGTGTGTATTTAAAGAGAATTAGACATTAATTCAGTAACGGCAGCTTTTCAGGGGTCAAATAGAAGTCTAATCAAACTGTAATTCCAGACTTTTAATGATTATTTGGCTTCCCTAGGTATTAGGCAAAAATCACAGTTTTAGAGTTCTAAATGGATGAAACTGGTTCAATGCTTCAATGGATAGAATTTTCTAGGAATTTGGCAAGTATAGGACTTCTTATCATGATTGAATTGTTAATCTTTCTAATTGTGCAAAGTATTGAAAACATACCTGAACTTTCATATGAACTCATATTGATGAACCAGGTTCTTCATTTAGAATTCTCTTGAACATGCCTCAAATGCCATAATAGAAAAAACTTTGTAAGAGATTAGTGAGTCATATATACACATGTCACAGGAGTATACGAATGAAAGTATGAGACTGAGTAAGAATTAATCTAGATATTTACACAAAGTTAGAATTCCTAGCCAAATTTTTTTTTTGTATTCTGAGCTGGACCTATTAGGTGATCTTAATCATCCCTAATTCCAACTTGTTCCTCTCAAAGTTTTCTCTACTCAGTGTTTTAGTGAAGATGTCAGCAATTTGCTTATCAGTAGCACAGAATTCTATGGAGATCATACTTTTCTCATAGTTGTCTCTTAAGAAATGGTGCCTAATATCTATGTGCTTAGTCCTTTTATGATGAACATGGTTCTTTGTCATACTTATAGCACTAGTGTTATCACAGAATATAGGAATGCAACCTACTTTTATCCCAAAATCTACCAGCTGTTGTTTGATCCATAGCAATTAAGTACAACAAGAAGCAGTAGCAACATATTCAGCTTCAGCAGTTGACAAGGCCACGGAATTTTGCTTTTTAGTAGCCCATGGCACAAGACATGAACCAAGGAAGTGTGTCATACCTGAGGTGCTCTTCTTATCCACTAGAAAACCTGCATAATCAGTATCAGCATATCCTACTAGATTGAAATTGCTACCTTTGGGATACCAAAGACACGGATCAGTGGTGCCTTTCAAGTATCTTAGTATCCTTTTGATACCAGTTAGGTGAGACTCTTTAGGATTTGCCTGAAAGCGAGCACAAAGCCCTACACTGAAAACAATATCAGGTCTGCTAGCAGTAAGATACAAGAGTGAACCAATCATACCCTTATACAACTTTTGATCAACTGATGAACCAGGTTCATCAACATCTAATTTAGTGGCAGTTGCAATGGGTGTGTCTATTTCTTTAGATTCTTCCATTTTAAACTTTTTGATTAGCTCATTTGCATACTTCTGCTGATGGATCATGGTTCCATTTGGACTTTGCTTGATTTGTAAGCCTAAGAAGAAGTTAAGCTCACCCATCATGCTCATTTCAAACTCACTCCCCATTAATTTTGCAAAGTCATTACTTAGATTATCATTAGTGTCCCCAAAGATTATGTCATCAACATATATTTGTACAACAAGGAGATCTTTACCTTTTTCCCTTAAGAATAAGGTACTATCAATTTTACCTCTTTTGTAACCATGCTCCAGCAGGAATTTGGACAATCGTTCATACCATGCTCTTGGGGCCTGCTTGAGTCCATAGAGAGCCTTGTCTAATTGTACACATGCTCAGGACATTCCTTGCTCTCAAACCCTGGAGGTTGTTTCACAAACACTTCTTCTTTCAGGTAGCCATTCAGGAAGGCACATTTGACATCCATTTGATGAAGAGTGAATTCCATGTGTGCTACAAAGGCTATGAGGAGTCTGATAGCCTCTAGTCTTGCAACTGGAGCAAAGGTCTCATCATAGTCTATGCCCTCCTCTTGGCTGTAACCTTGGACCACCAGTCTTGCCTTGTTTCTTGTAACAGTTCCATCTTTATCGAGTTTGTTTCTGAAGACCCACTTTGTACCAATGACTGATCTATCCTTGGGTCTTGGAACTAGATGCCAAACTTGACTTCTCTCAAACTGATTGAGTTTATCTTGCATTGCAATCACCCAATCTGCATCCTACAAAGCCTCAACAAGATTTTTAGGCTCAATAAGAGATAAAAAGGCATCAAAAGCACACAGATTCTTTAATTGTGATCTAGTTTTGACTCCAGATGTTGGATCAGTGATAATGTTCTCAATAGGATGAGAACTTTGATACTTGTGAGGTTTCACAACCAACTGGTTTTTGCTAGATGTTTCTCCCATGTTCTGTTGCTGAGGAACAGGGTCATGAACCAATTCTTTTAGGGGATTTATTTCAATTCCTCCTTGATTAGTTCCCCCAGTCAGGTTGCCCTGGATGGAAGAACTTGTTCCATCACCTGTTCCTTCTTTTGGTGCCACTTTGACTTGTGCTGAGGCTTCAGTCAGATCTTTTACCAATCCAATGGCTTCATCTTCATGTTCCTATCTCTCAGAAAGAGTGTTAGTTTCATCATATACTACATGTACACTTTCTTCTACACACAAAGTTCTTTTATTAAACACTTTATATGTTTTGCTATGTGAAGAATATCCCAAGAATACTCCCTCATCACCTCTGGGATCAAACTTACCTAGGGAGTCTTTTTCATTATTGTGCATAAAGCACTTGCAACCAAATGCCCTAAGATGGGATATATTTGGTTTTCTCCCTTTAAGTAACTCATAGGGAGTCTTCTCGACAAGAGGTCTAGTCATGCATCTATTGATAATGTAACATGCAATGTTTACAGCCTCTGCCCAGAAACTATAGGGCAATTTACTAGAAAGAAACATAGTCCTAGCCATGTCTTCAAGAGTCCTATTCTTTATTTCAACTACTCCATTTTGTTGAGGTGTCCTAGGGGCAGAGAAGTTATGCTCTATACCATTTTCATCACAAAATTCAGCAAACTTAGCATTCTCAAATTCAGTTTCGTGATCAGACCTAATTGATGCAAGTTGATTTCCTAATTGTTTCTGAGTTTTTCGAACAAAAGAAGTAAACATGTCAAATGCTTCATCTTTAGATGTTAGAAACAGTACCCAGTAAATCTAGAATAGTCATCAACAAGTACCATTACATACTTCTTTCCACCTCTGTCATGGTTCTCATTGGAACACATAGATCCATATGGACCAGTTCCAACGACTTAGTTGTGCTTACCATTTTCTTGCTTTTGAAGGATGATCTTACTTGCTTTCGCCTTGCACAAGCCTCACAAACTTTGTCTTCCTTGAACTTGATATTAGGTAACCCTATCACCAAGTCCTTAGAGACCAATTTTTTTAGCTGATTCAGACTGGCATGACCAAGTCTTTTGTGCCACAAGATGGGATCATTATCCAGCACACTTAGGCAGGTTAGTTCATTTTTTGAGAGAGTGGACAAATCTACAATGTAAATATTGTTAACTTTTTTTCCCTGCAAAATAATCTTGTCAGTGGTAAGATGAATCACAAAGCATTTAGTAGAGGTGAATGCTACAAGGTTATCTCTATCATACAGTTGTGACACACTGATAAGGCTATATTTCAAGCCATCTATCAAGTAGATATTCTCAATAGAGTGAGAGTCTGTCTTACCTACCTTTCCAACCCCAATGATCTCACATTTCTTCCCATTTTCAAAGGAGACATTGCCTCCCTTTAAGTCCTTAAGTGAAAGGAATTGGTTCTTGCTTCTAGTCATATGTTTTGAGCAGCCACTATCCATGTACCATATTCGGTTGCTTCCCTTCACTTGGACCTGCAAAAAGAAATCAGGGGTTAGTCTTAGGAACCCAAACTAGTTTGGGTCCCTTTCTATGGGCAAAGGGATAAATCATATTACTTTTAGCCCACCCAGGCAGCCTATTTTTTTGTTGAACAAAGGTTTTGTTCTTTTGACTGGCCTTTTCTTTTGCATTACATTCATTTTTGTAATGGCCAGTCTTGCCACAATGTGTGCAAATTTTGTTTTCAGGAAGAGTGAGGTACTTGCTTTTAGGATCCCACTTAGGTGCTAGAGTTCTATAACCAAGTCCTCTTTTGTTTCTACTTTGATATTCATGTAGCCAGGAGAGTGCATCAGAAGCCTTGTTCCATTTGCAAGTTCTGTCTAGTTCATGTTTTACCTTCCCTAGATCTTCTTTTAGTACTCTTATTTGCTCATCTTTCTTGTATAGCTCATCCTTCATTTTTCCTAAGTTTTCTTTTAGGGTGAGATGAGTGTGATCAGCTTTCTTCTTTTCTGTTTCTAGTTTTAGTTTTAAGTCCTCAGACCTAAGTTCTAGGACACTAGTGTCAAGGTCAAGAACCTGGTTATTCAACTTAGTATTTTCACTTTCACTCTCATTAGCCCTAGACTCTAGATTTTTGCACTTGGATTTTAGGATCATATATTCCCTAGACAGCTCTTCCTTTTCATTGTTAATTATCTCAAACTTATCAATGAAATCCTGCAATAGCTCACACAACCTTTCTTTAGACAGGAATTTAATCTTGTCTTTGAGATGAAGAATATTTACCTCTTGTTCATCATCTGATTTTCCTATGGGCATAAGAGCTTGTTCATCTCCAGCTTCATCTTCTGATTCCTCATCTGATGTTTCTCCCCAAGCAGCAACCATAACCCTTGTTGATCCTTTGTTCCTTTTTTGGTTGAACATGTTCCTTCTTCCTGCTCCTTCATTCAGCCCTTTCCTTCTTCCACTCAATTTCCCATTGAGGGCAGTTCTTGATCATGTGATCAGTCTTACCACACTTGTAGTAGCCCTCATTGATCTGTTTCTCAAGAGCCCTTGGTTTGTCGAAGGTTGTACCTCTTGAAGAACCCTTTCCTCTCATCAAGTAATTTTTGAAATTTCTAGTGATCATAGCCATTTCATCATCTTCCAGATCTGAACCTTCAGCAATTCTGAGAGCCAGACTTCTTTCCTTCTTGGGTGCATCCATTTTCATGGTATG